GCTCGATGGACTGCATGGGAGTACTTCTCTTTAGTAGCTTAAGATATATTGTAATTTAATGTTAATCCTTTGTTAATGACTCAGCTTTTGTAATGAAGTAGTTAGCCTTTTGTGTGGCTTAGCTGAGATTAAGGAAAAGTAGTCTGCTGGTTGTTGAAACAGTAGTGAAGTATGTTTATGCAGGTTTTGTCTAATGAAAAAGTATGTCCAGATTTTAGTATCATCTCTCTTCTTCTTTGAATAACCAGCATCACAAAAAACGAACATGGATACAGAGCTTCATCAACCAACTAACGTCTAAAAAGATCACTCAAAAACTCATCCCAAATCACCATCAAACTTCACTCTTACGCAAGAAAAAACAAAGCCTTCAAAAACTGCAACCAGTTCACGCATGGCTTCCCAATCTGGTCTCTCTCACCTCCAGTGTTCAACGTGGACCAGTACCACATTTGGGCTGTTAGAATGAGAGCCTACCTGAGAGGACAAGGGCTGTGGCAGTATGTGGAAGAGGAGAAACAGCCACCCCAACTTGGTCCAAACCCAACCTTGAACCAAATGAGAATGTATGAAGAGGAAATGTCCAAAGCTCCAAGAGCTCTCTCTCACATACATCGGCAGTAACAGACCTTGTATTTACAAAGGATAATGGCGTGTGAAATTGCAAAGGAGGCTGGGATAGACTAAGAGAGGAATTCATGGGAAGTGATACAACCCATAACATGCAAGTTATGAATCTGCGCAGGGAGTTTGAAAGCCGAGAATGCAGGAGGTAGAGAAGGTTAAGGAGTATGTGGATAGACTCATGAGTGTGGTGAACAAAATCAGATTGTTGGGAGTTGAGATGAGTGACAAGATGATAGTTGAAAAGGTGTTGTAAGCCTTCTAGAAAGATTTGAGTCCAAGATATCTTCCTTAGAAGATTCAAAGGACCTCTCCCAAATCAGCCTTACGGAATTGGTACATGCCCTGCAGGCCCAAAGAACAAAGAAGGTTGATGAGGCAGGAAGACTCAAATGAAGGGGCCATGATGGCTGCTCAAAAGGGAGTGAATACGTGGGGAGTAACAGAAGATATCTGGGGATAAGAGAGGAAAAGAGAGAGCTGGTGGACAGTGGGGGAAAACAGAGTGGAGGAAGAAGTTATCCACCATGTTCCCACTGCAAAAAGAAGGGACATCCGGACAGCAAGTGCTGGTTCAGGCCTGGGATTCAATGCAGGGGATGCAAACAATTCGGCCACATTGAGAAGGTGTGCAGGAACAAGGCGCACAACCACCACAGCAAGCACAAAGTGTAGATGAACAGCAGCAGTCCAATGAGTCAGAACAGCTGTTTGTAGCCTCATGCTACTCAATACAGACCTTTGGAGAAGTTGGCTGATAGACAGCGGATGCATTAACCACATGACTGCGAATGTGGAGAACTTTGTTAGGCTGGACAGATCATACAGCCAAGGTTAGGATTGGAAATGGTGACTATGTAGAAGCAAGAGGGTTGGAGATGTGGCAGTCCAAACCAAGGCAGGAACTAAGGTTATCTCTAATGTTTTGTTTGTACCTGAAATTGCACAAAACTTGTTAAGTGTAGGTCAAATGTTAGAGAGAAATTTTAACTTGCATTCCAAAAACATTCTTGCATTATAAAAAAGTGAGGGAAAAGAGTTGTTAAGTGTAAGGATGCTTGGCAAAAGCTTTCTTTGGACTGGAAAAAACCAGAAAACTTAGCATTAATCACCAAGGCTGAAGAGTCTGAATTAGGCATAGAAGACTAGGACATTTTCATTACCCTGGAATTAAAGAACTCAAGACAAGGGACATGGTATTAGACCTGCCGAATAGAAGAGAAAAGAAACTTTGCACAGCCTGCCACTTGGCAAACTTAGCAGGCCACCATTCCCTTCGGATCAAGCCTGGAGAGCAAGTCACAAGTTGCAATTGATCCACTCGGATGTGTGTGGCCCTATGAGGACAGAATCTCTAAATGGCAGTAGAGGTATTTGTACTTTTCATTGATGATTTTTCAAGAGTGGCTTGGGTGTATTTCTTGAAGCAGAAAAGTGAAGTGGCTGCTGTGTTCAAACAATTCAAGTTGCTGGTGGAGAATGAAGCTGGAACCTTGATCAAGGCAGTGAGGACAGATAATGGGACGAGTACACCTCAAATGAGTTCAAGTTAATCTGCAGCCTAGCTGGAATACAGCAACAGTTCACAGACACATACACCCCTCAACAAAATGGTGTCTCTGAGAGGAGAAATCGAACCATTATGGAAATGGCCAGGTGCATGATGAATGGAAAAGGCCTTCCTAAAGTGTTCTGGGCGAGAAGCTATCAATACAGCAGTTTTCCTGCTGGATAGGCTGCCCACCAAGGCTGTCAAACATCAAACACCAATTGAGGCATGGACTAGAATCAAGCCAACAGTAGGAAACCTGAAAGAGTTTGGAAGTATAGCCTATGTAATGATCCAGTCAGCAAAAGGTCTAAGCTAGATGACAAGGCAGAAATTGGGATATTTATAGGCTACAGCAGCAACTCTAAAGCCTATAGAGTTTATGTTCCTAAGTCCAAAAAGATTGTAATCACAAGGGACATTAAGGTGATGAATGTGGAGTATGGAATTGGGAAGAACAAAAGAGTTGTGTGCAGGTTGAATCAAGTCAGAATGAGGGGAGAGAGGGACTGATTCAAGAGGCAGATTCAGATGAGGAAGAAGAGCATGCTGTGAGAGGAACTAGGACCTTGGCTGATGTGTATGAAAGGTGTAATACGGCAGTGGTGGAGCCAAGATGCTATTTTGATGCTGCAAAATCTGAGTTGTAGAGGACTGCAATGCAGGAAGAATTGAGCATGATTAATAAGAATCAAACCTGGAAACTGGTACCTAGACTTGAAACAAGAAAAGTCATTCAGGTTAAATGGATTTTCAAACTGAAAATCAACCCTGATGGCTCAATTTACAAGCATAAAGCAAGGCTGGGGTGAAGGATTTGCACAGCAACCAGGCATTGATTTTTCAGAAACCTTGCCCCGGTTGCTAGGCAAGATACAATCAGACTTTTGGTGTCTGCAGCTCAGTTCAACTGGGAAATTTCCAGTTGGATGTCAAGTCGCATTCTTAAATGGATGGATTACAGAGGAGTTGTATGTAGAGCAACCCGAAGGCTACCAGGTTGAGGGAAAGGAGGACCATGTGTACCTACTGAGGAAGGCATTTACGGCTGAAGCAGGCACCTAGAGCCTGGTACAACCGAATAAATGACCATTTATGCAGCCTAGGATACATTAGAAGTCCTAATGAACAACACTCTCTACATTAGGAAAACTGAAAGGGAGTGGTTGTGGTGTCTTTGTACGTTGATGACTTGTTGGTGACAGGAAGTAATCCTGAGGAGTTGGACAAATTCAAGTGGGATATGCAAGCTGAATTTGAAATGACAGATTTGGGATTGATGAAGTCTCCTTGGCATGGAAATAACTCAAGGTGTTGGGAAGATTTTTGTTTGTCAACAAAGGTATGCAACCGAGCTACTTTCCAAGTTGGAATGGAGAATTGCAAACCAGTTAATACCCTCTGGTTCCAACCTGAAGTTAAGCAAAACAGATGGTGCAGAGAGAGTTGATGAAGGGAAATACAGAAGCCTTGTGGGAAGTCTACTGTATTACACAGCCACCAGACCTGACCTTATGTTTACAGCAAGCTACCTCTCAAGGTTTATGAGCAACCCAAGTGAATTGCACTTCCAAGCTGCCAAACGTGTGTTGAGGTATGTGAAAGGAACCTGATGTTAGGCATTTGGTTCAGGAAATCCAAAGTCTGAAGCTGATGGGGTACACTGACAGTGACTGGGGTGGATCCGTGGATGATGCAAGAAGCACCTCTGGTTACGTGTTCTATCTGAATGAGGGTGCTATTAGTTGGCTGTCAAGGAAGCAGGAAACAGTGGTCAGTCCACTGCTGAAGCTGAATATGTGTCTGCCGCAGCAGCTGTGAACCAGGCTGTGTGGCTTAGGAAGATGCTTGATGACTTACAGCAAATGCAAATGGATCCTACCTTGATTTTGTGTGACAACCAGTCGGCTGTAGCAATGGCAAAGAACCCTGTACTTCATGGCAGAACAAAGCTATATAAAATCAAATATCATGCTGTTAGGGAAGGAACAGTGTGGAGAAATGAACTTAGTTCACTGCCGAGGAGAAGACCAGGTTGCAGATATCATGACAAAGGCATTATGCAAATCCAAGTTTGAAGCCTTGAGGCTAAAACTTGGGTGTTCCAGCCAAAGCACCAAGGTGGAGTGTTGAAGGTTGATGTGTGCGGGAAGGGTTAGACTGTATGTAAAACCTGGAAGAGTTTCTGCTCTGCATGGACTGCATGGGAGTACTTCTCTTTTAGTAGCTTAAGATATATTGTAATTCAATGTTAATCCTTTGTTTAATGACTCAGCTTTTGTAATGAAGTAGTTAGCCTTTTGTGTGGCTTAGCTGAGATTAAGGAAAAGTAGTCTGCTGGTTGTTGAAACAGTAGTTGAAGTATGTTATATGCAGGTTTTGTCTAATGAAAAAGTATGTCTAGATTTTAGTTATCATCTCTCTTCTTCTTTGAATAACCAGCATCACAAAAAACGAACAGATAGTCACAGGAGACATTCAAAAATTCCCTAATTGGCAACAGATATGACAACATCTCCACCAAACATCAACTATTACTATCAAGAAATCTTTGAATTACTTCTTTTGTTATATCATTTCTGTTATTGTTTCTTCTCAGTTGTTTATCCTCCGAAACAGCAGTTGACTTGGAGTCTTCTGAATTATATATCATATATTTGTGTAACTTGTTGATTTATATTTCAACTCTTGTAATACATATCTATTATATGTTGTTTTCTATTTAACTATTACACAATTACAAAGAAGACTTTAAAAGCTCAGATGGAGATTGTTAAGCCAAGTGATATTTTGCTGGAATAGTACTTAATGCAGCTGAAAGAAGTAGGTGATTGGAGCTGAAAATAATGTGGTTTAAGTCAGCTGTTTTTGTGATAACTGCAGCAAGTAATGTAGCTGCATTTAAAGTTTAAAATTCATATTTTTTGTTTAGTTAGATTCGCGTGGTGCTGGTGTAATGTTTTAGAAAAATCACTGCAAGTTTAGGTGTAACAGTTGATGTGAAACTTATGTATATATTTCAGTTTAAGTTAAATGAAAATCAGATGAACTCTTAAGCCAACTTCATTGCATTCGACTCTTTCTTTTACACCTTTAGATAAAAAGCCAACAGAGATGATCCTGGTCCTTTGGTTAGACAATTGAGCAATTGACGTGGAAAGAAGACTTGTAATAGAAGAGTATACATTTAACTGACACTTTATTCTTATTAAACAAACCAAAATTGCATTGAAGAGTCCAACAGAAATATATAGTAATAATGATTATTTAGCGTTTTGGGTTGAGGTGAAGGTGGAGGAGCAAAGAAAGCCAATGATCATTTAGTGCCTACGACCAGAACAGAGTTAAAAAGCAGAGGTTTTAATCAACAGTAAATTTTGAAAAATTACTATTACATCTGAAGTCACGTTTCTTAGTATGAAGATATGCATGTTGATTAATATATCATTTCAGGAACTACTTAACTGTTAATTGAAGAGTCTCTTGGGCTGATCCCGGTGATAAGAAAGGCTTGGGTGGAATTTGCAAGGAATTGATGCTCCCTTCCAACATCTCCACTGCTCTACTCATTGTTGGCCGGTCCGAAGGATTAGTCTGTATGCACCACAAGCTCACTATAATCATCTTCCTTACACATTCTTTATCTTCTTCATTTGAAATGCCTAGTAGTCCAAGTTCTTCACCTACTTCAAGACGCTCGTAAATCCATTGCAGAAAATATAATTCACTGCTATTATCAACTCCTACATTGTTATTTTGTCTTCCTCCTGTCATTTCTATAACCATCATTCCATAGCTATAAACATCTGACTTGTAAGAGACTACTCCAAAGTTTCTAGAAAATACTTCTGGAGCAATATAACCAATTGTTCCACGTGCACCTGTCATTGATACAATACTCTCTTTCTGGGGGCAAATTTTAGCAAGACCAAAATCAGAGATTTTCGGACAAAAATTTTCATCGAGGAGAATGTTATGAGGTTTTATGTCAAAGTGCAAAATTCGTATGTTACAACCGCGGTGTAAATACTCTAACCCTCGGGCTATGCCTACCACAATTTGGTACAATGTTCTCCACTTCAATTGATGAGCAACCTTCAATGGATTCTTCTCATCTATGAATTTATCAAGAGATCCATTTGACATAAACTCATAGATGAGAGCTCTTGTACGGCCCTCAAAACAGAAACCTAAAAGAGTGACAATATTGACATGGGAAGTCCTACTAATGCTAGCAACCTCGTTGATAAATTCTTCACCATTTCCTTTGGAATCAATTAAATTCTTCACCGCTACATAGCGACCATCAGGTAGCCTACCTTTGTAAACACCTCCATATCCTCCTTGGCCAAGTTTGTGTCTGAACGAATTGGTCATTTTCTTAACATCTGAATAACTATATCTTTTAGGAGCAATGGATCCATGATTCCTTAAAAATGCCTCAATGTTTTGGTAATTCCTAGTTTTCTTCTTGTAGAAGACCATGACAATATTTGGTGACAATTTTCCCCAGAAGTAAAAGGCCAGAACTATCAATATGCTAGTTGCAGTGACTAAGATGCCTGCAATTAATTGAAGACAGGAATTAGCTGAACACAATGATGGCAAATTGTTAAGACAATTTTGAATGGTCAATATGAAGGGCGTCAATGCCACAAATATTTGTAAATATACATAAAGAATCACTTGCAAGACTAACTGAAATAGTTCAAGTTCTAGGAAAAGGGACATGATGGCTATATTTTTAGCTGCAACTTTTGATATTTCTTTAACACGAATAGAGACCATAGTACCAAAGAAATTTTCTTAGAGGACAAGAACAATTATAACATGTTAATGGGTTCTCTGTGTCAATGGACATGCAAATGATTGATAGAAACTTTGCCTCATAGTTTAGACAATTGAGAGACGATAATTCAAGCTTTTGTACAGTTTTAATATCTGATTCATATACTCGTGTTCCCCGAGAATTAATTCTCGTGATGAATTCAAGCTTCCTGGAAATCTAGTGATAGAAGCAAAGAATAAACAGAAAGTAAATTCAATAGAATATTTGGTTAAAGAGGTATATTACCAAGTCCCATGCCTAGCTTCAATCCCAATTTCTCATCTCCTGCAGCAAATTACAAATAAGATGGCATTAGATTATCCAAATTCTTGTCAAGATTTTGAATGTAACAAAAGTCATAATAATCTTCTTGTGACAATCTGAGCTCTTCGACCTAGTGACGGCTTTAATGTTTTGGCATGGAATCAAAATAAACGCACGCAGATTATTGAGCAAAAAACCAATCTGTGAAACCTGGAAATCCGGACATGTTTTTAAGCAGGAATGAATCATTGTACCTCACTGTAATTTTTTATTACCTGGTCTTTCTGTCACAGAACATTCAAACTTTCCCTCCCTATCCGTTTGGCCATGCCCTCCCGCAAAAAAAGCAACCATAACAGTTGCTTGTTACATTCAATTCCACGGATAAAAAACACGTAAATAAATCAGAATATTCAACAATTTTTTGAATCTTATTCACTCGGAAGATAATAGGTGAACACTGAGGTGGAGGACCTCGAAGATGATCAGTTGGGTTTGAGTAGACGATCTAAGAGTGCTGGGAGTTATCGCAGCCAAAACTGAATTTGAATCATATTATCCCGAGAGATTGCTGAAATATTAAACCAATACCCCTCCTTCCCCAACTAAACGTCCGAACTCGATCAGTGCAGTTATCTACAATCATCAACCCACACTCAAGATACGATCGATTGGAGAAAGGGAAGCTGATATCGCCCATGAAACCAAAAAGGAAAAATGGACATATTGGACTCAGTCTCTTTTCTTCTTAAGCAAAGCAAAGAAGTAAAAGATGAAGAAAATATTCAAAGGCTAATTTACTGCAATTTCAAATCTCATCCCTTGGGAATAATGCAACTGAAGTACTGTAGGTTGCTTTGAAAGCACAAGTAACCACAGATTTTGAGTAGTTGACAGGAAACGAGTAGTTGCAATTACAAAAAAAGAAGAGGTCAGCATGCTAGGGTCTGAGGTTGAGAGAAGCACGCTCACAACATAATGGCCATAAAATGATTGTCCATCTTGTTCATTACAGAATAAACTAGAAACTTTGCCAAATGGTCAACAAACTTTGGAGAAGTTTCTGGTGGCCCTATTACGAAAGTTGAGAAAGACGTGTGAATTATTGGAGTTCTCTAAGTTATTAATTCCTAATTGGGTTTAATTGGGTTTGGGCTCAGGCAAAATAATCCTTGTAATGTTAGGTTTTACACTTTAATATAATGTATGAACTTATTTTTCTCTTGTATAAGTGTGATAGCAAATCATGAGGCAAATTACATTTATTATAACGAGAGAGGTGAGACAGTGTTTCAATAATATTGACTCTGTTAGATATAGCTTGTTAATTGGGTAAATCAAGGTAAATCGCACGTATTATTATTTCTCTTTACTAGGTTATGGTTTGTGTGTGTTCACTGTTTTCGGTTTGTATTACTCTAGATTGTTTCATAAATTGGGAAAAGGGGTTCGACATGTATGAAAAAAAGCTAAACATGGCATGGCCGGAGTGAAAGACGACAAAGATGTGGACTATAAAACTAGTGATTGGTGTTAATTAAACATTATTGGTAATAAACGCGAACGAACTCGTATTTTTGAAAGTCTGTGCAGTTGTTAGTTGAAGTTGGGAAGAAAACCTAATGATATTTCAAGAATTTGTCTGGCTTTTGAAGAGGCTTCATACTCTTAACTCAGTCTCTCATGAAACAGAGGATTTGTTGGCATCTCAGACTTGAACTTCAAGGCTAAGCACACAATTCATACAAAACAGACAAACAGGTTTCTACAATGGCAAGCAATTCGATCACATCACAGGCCACAAATCAGTAACAACAATTTTCCCCTAAGATTCAGCTCAGGTTGATAATGAACTGAAATGAACAAACTAAAGAATCATGAAAAACTCGGGGCTTTAACTATCATGCTATGACAAACTAAACTGCTTTCTCTTAACCCAAGTAAGGAATCAAGCAAAATCCACTAGAATAATACGACTAAAAAGCAAGAGAAACAGTTGTTCTCTTTTGGCATGTTATTAAACTAATCCACCTCATATGAATGTATGAAGCGAAGGATAAGTTTCTCACAATTGAACTTCAAGGCTGAGCACACAATTCATACAATACAGACAAAGAGGCTTCTTTGATAGCAAGCAATACAATCACACCACATAATCCTGTCGAACACGGCGATTTTACCCATCAACAATATAGCAACCAGTAAGACTACTGTCAAATGTTCATATAACCTAGAAGTTCTTAATGTTCTGCTTTTATGAGTGGCCACTTTAGAGGAGTTCTATAAACAGGTGGAAAGCATCCACTCACCATTGTCATACTAATCTTTACTGGATATGGTAATTCTACACACCTTAGAAATTCAGAGGGACTAATTTGTTATCATCCAAAGCAGTTTAGTTCTACCTATCTAAAATGCATAGGTTGCACCCAGACAAAAAATCATCGGCCACCAACTTTTCGGAAGTCCAGTCCGTTTCAGTGTAAATCCATCCTTCAACAACTTCACATAGTCAAAACTAGATATTTTTTCATCCCTTTCCTCTAATTTAACAGGTGCAGCACAGCAACCAAGTATTCGCGGGAAACTTTTCTCCAATTTCAAATCCTCATCCCTAGGGAATAATGCAATAACGTACTGCAGGTTGCATACTAAGGTTTGAATCACAAGTAACCTCAGATTTTGTGTAATTGACAGAAAACAGATCATTGCACTTAAGGAAAAAGACTAGATTAGCACGGTAGGTACTGAAGTTGAGACAGAAATTATGAAAACTATTTGTGGCCATATTGGTATGATCTAAATTCCAGACAAGCTTGAGCACACAACTGTCAGAATTGCCAATCTGAGACTCGTATAGATGATAGATCATGTTGCGACTCACTAAACCGCTTTCTTTCAACCCGGCTAAGGAATCAGTCAAAATCCACTAGACTAATCCTAATAAAAAGCTAGAGAAAAGTTATTGTTTGGCAATGATGGTATTAAACTAAATGCAGCTCATATGAATGTATGAAAATCAAATAGTAACTTAGAACAAAGAAACCGATATTTTAAAAAAGAAAAAACAGGACATGCATGTAACCTGTTTAACACTCTGGGACGACTGAAATTTGCCATACCTGTTCTTTCTTCTGAACAATAAAAGAATCCCTCGCTATTCCTTCTACAACTGCGTCCGGCCATATTACAATATACACATTCTCTTTCTCTTTTCCCAGAACACTTAAACTTTGCCTGGCTATCAGTTTCACATTGGCCTTCCTCCAAATGACAGTCAAAACATTCTTTAGTTACCTTCACTTCCAGATCGAATTGAAAAGTAGACAGATTGAAAATTTCAGTACTGCTATGTGTCTTATTGAACAGGAAGCGAATGCGTGAACATTGAGGTATAAAACTAGGCAATTTTATAAATCTTGAATGGTAAAAGAAAAACGAGTCCCTGGAGTAATTGCAGACATGGTGAAAATCTTTGGGCTTATACTGACTGAGGGGGCATTTGAAAATGGTTTGGTTATTGTGAATTTCAAAAGAGAGAAAAGGAGTAATGGGAAGAGTTAAATTTTTGAAGGATCGGCAGCTACGGTTGTCAAACGGAAGTAAATATTCTGGGTCATGAAGCGTAACCGTATTATTCTGTAAGATGCTTGAAACATTAAACAATGGCACGTGCTTCCATTTTCGGAAATTGTTTTTCACATTCATCTACTATGCATAACCCACACTCAGGATGCGTTCGATTGGAAAAGAGGAAGCCGATCTTGCCAAGTAAACCACAAGAGAAAGGTGGACATCTTGAATTCCACCTCTTTACTTCTTGAGCAAAGCAAAGAAGTAAAAGATGAAAGATGACAAAGAACACAAGACAAGGGGCACGACCCATTCTAAACTTCTCCATTTACCAACAAAAGCAGCAGCAGCTTCCCCAACTCTCGACTACTAATACTGTTAAGAAGTCTTTGCTTCACTCCATTTTTATCCAATCATTCTCTGACTGTTTCTTGACAGTTCTTCTCATTATAGACATTGACTTGCTTTCCTTATAAACAGACACGGCAGTTGACTTGGAAATTTCACAGGGAAGACTTGAGAAAAACAGAACGAAACAATAGCAAGATGGGACATTCGCGTAAATCACATACGTACAGTACTACAGTTCATGAAAAATCAGTTTTTATTGGTCCGTCAAAAGACTAATAGTTAGTAACTACAAATAACAGTTGACGATTGACTTACTTGAAGTTTTTAAGTCGTCGTGTCCACTGCTTACTTAACGCGAATAGATAAAAGACCCAGAGAAATACAAAATCTATTCTCTATAATTCTTATGAGATCAGAAAATCGACAACATAATACCCCCAAAATGATTGCCTATTTTGTTCGTTACAGAACAAAAGATAAACTTTGCTAAATGGTCTACAAACTTTGCAGAAGCGAAGCTCTTGGCGGGCCTGTGACAAAAGTTCAGAAAACGGGTTTGACATCTATGAGAAAAATATAAACAGATAAGGTAGCGTTTTGGGTTAATTACTTCCTGATAATCGAGGCAAGAAAGGAACAAATTCTACAAAGAAAGGGATGTGCAAATTGGGCCATTGTAATCTCTAAATTTAAGAGGTGGTTTTCATTGTGATAAAGAAAAGTCTTTCCAGGTGAAGTAGGCAATGGGGCAGCAAATGTAAGCACAAGGAAATCTATGACATTTCAAGAATCTTTATCTGATTTGGAAGAGGTTATCTTCTCTAGCTATGTCTCATAAAGCAGAGGATTTAAATTCAAGTTATCATTGTGATAAGACTCCTAATTGAGGACAAACTTGTTTCTTTGAAAAGTCCTTGCAGTTAAAGTAGGTAGCGGGGTAGAGAAAAAATATATGCACAAGGAAATCTGATGACAGACAGAGGATTTAGTATCTCAGAGTTGAACTTCAATGTTCAACAAATAATTCATACAGAACAGACAAACATGTTTCTGCAACAGCAAGCAAAAACCCATGTAAATCATAAAAAGCAGAACATGTATTAAACCACGAAATTGTCCTAGCAGCCACTGTAATTTTTGTACCTGTTCTTTCTGCCGCAGAACAATTGAACTTTCCCTGATTATCAGTTTGACATTGCCCTCCAGCCGAAAAACAGTCATAACACTCATTTGTTACATTCACTTCCAGACTGAAATCACCCATAAACAAATCAGAATATTCAACACTTGTTTGAGTCTTATTCACTTGGAAGTTAAGAGGTTTGCATTGAGATGGAGAAGGTGGCAAAGTTTTACCAGGGTAACTATGGTAGATATAGGAGTGTTGGGAACTTTTGCAGGAAAAACTGAAATTTTTGGGGGCTTTGTAATTGCGGGGGCATTCGTACACGGATTGATTGTAGGGCACATTAAAAGATAGAAAAGGAGAGATGGGAAGACTCAATTTTTTAAAGGATATGTCGCGCCTACAATACTTCGCGTACTCTTCACCAGGAAGGTCATGAAGATTAACCATATTATCCTGAGAGATGCCTGTTATATTGAACCACGGGCCATCCTTCCCCAACCGAATCTTCTGAACATTTTCAGTGCAGTAATCTACAACCAGCAACCCACACTCCGGATGCGTTCGATTGGAGAAGGGGAAGCCAATATTGCCAAGATAACCACAATCAAAAGGAGGACACCTTGGATTAAACGTCTTTTCTTCTAGAGCCAAGGAATACAGCAAAAGATGAAAAAGAAGAAAGAACACATGATAAGCTGAAAAAGCCATCTAAATATTACTATTAAGAAATCTTAGAACTAACCGATGTATTCTGTAATACTGTAATGGCTTCGACTCAATATGTTCAATAGTTTTATATTTTACAACGCGTCAGTTGCCTTGGAAATTGAGTAGGAAAGACTCGCAGAGACAGACTTAAAAGCAGTGAATTAGTCCTGCTGTGCAATATTTCCAACTTCTCTCCCGGTGAATAGCACAGGGAAGACACGACTCAATGACTGTTAAAAACTATGACATCTGAATCTCTGATTGACGATGATAACTTCGTCAAGTTGTCTTATTCGACTTATTGACACGTCTAGACAAAGGTTAGCCAGAAAAAAACAACTGATTAAATTTAATTAAATTTCTAAACCTCTATAATTTAAGGTTTCACCAATTCTTTAAATCATTTAAAATTAACTCAATAATTAATAAAAATTTATCAAACCCAACTTAAAACAATAACTAATTAATCTATACTTCAACATAAACAAAATTAAATCAAAATCCATATATATAAATATATTTTATTTTTTTCCAAGAAGAAAGAAAACTGTAATAAGTATGAGAGAATTGGGTATTATAGGAATTGTTTCACTCTTCACTTTTAGTGCTTTTCAGTCCAAGTTCTTCAACAATCAGCAAAGTTAGCATTCAATCGATAATGCAAAGGACAAAAGAAATAAAAATTCTTGGCTATATGATCTTCTTAAAGTATGAAAACATCAGAAACGTAACCATAAGATAATGTGCATATTATTCATATCAGCACAGAAACCTTGTAAATGTTCTACAAACTTGAGAAACTTCAATTTGGGTTATCCTGAGGCCAATCAAAGTTAAATTTAAAAAATAAAAAAAAAATGGTTTAGACTACCAAGTCAGTAACGTTATTGATCTGATACAACCGTTGGATCTAGAGATCACAGGCTGAAATTTTTATTTAAAAAAAAAAAAAAAATTCACATACGTAGATAAGATCATTGGGCCATTGAATGGGTCCAAAGCTTTGCTCCTTTTCTAAAGCCCAAGCCTCATTCAAGAATAGAGGGATCTTCCTGTAAAATATCTCACCACCGATTATTAAGTACATTCTGTTTAAATCCAACACTAACTTCCCTTTAATAATTTTAAGCCTGCTTGATTTCATGAATTACGTGGCATAGCTACTAATATTTGTCACTATAATTTAGAGTTGTTTATAATAAAAAATAAACAAACTCTCTCCTTCCCCTAAAATTCGAAATCAATAAATCTTTTATGAAAAAAATCTAGAATACTACAAGGTACCACGTCACCCGTATCACATACCAATGCATTTACATCGCCTATGAATATTTTCTCTCTTAAATTTTTATCGTTAAAGTGATTAGTAGTTATTAATTTAAAATTATATATCGCAACAATATATTGGTTGATGGTACAGGTGACGTGGTACCCCTGTGGTATCATAGATTAGACCTAACAAATGGGTGGCCTGGTAAGTATGGATCAGGTCAAAACGGGTCAAAGTTTTAAATAAGTAATGAAATGTGAAAACCTATAGGTCACCCTTTTTTTTGGATAGATGTGGTGTAATTTATATAGAGTTACCCACTTCATGTTTATGCATGATATGATATACTTTACACATGGAGTAATGTTATCACATTCCAAAATATCAATATGTCAGATAAGTATCATCAATAATTAAGTTGTTACTTACTTTATAGTTTGTTTTTAATATATGGGCGATATATTTGGAAAAAGACAAAGAAAAAAAAATCAGTGATATCCTTTTGCTTTTTGCCTATCAATTATTACTTATTTCAATTTTTAAACATTAATTGGTTAATTTATATTGGAAAATTGATAAAAGAGGAGAAGACTTGATAGAGGCAACACGAATTTGACTCAAGTCAACTAATTGCTCGCATTAATTAGCCCTATTGCATAATCTAAGATAATTAAACCATGTGAGCATGTCCAATAAGAGGGAAAGTAAAAACACAGAGAGAGGAGATAGCTTTACCAATCCCTTTCACAATTTTTATTTTTAACCATTTTAAGAATGAAGAAAATCCAAGGCTCTCTTTGTTTAAGTTTTTAGAATGATATTCTATTCTAGGTTGAATTTAATCAAATAGAATAATATTATGATATGTGCTTGGTATGTTTTTGGAAAATATTTTTTGAAAATATTTAAATTATTTAATCCCCAACATTTGTTAATTTTACTAAAGACCCCCATAATAAAAGTTTATAAATTAGCAAAAACACATCACCCACCCAACTATCGCTAGTAGCCAACCACCACCATCGGACAGTGGCCGAAAGTCCCCGAAATGGCACATAATCGATTGGATCTAGCCGAAAACGATCAGATTTAGTCGTTAACGATGGTCATATCTTGGCCGTTAATGACGACCATATTTTGATCGTCGTTGGCAGCTAAACAACAACCAAGATATGGTTGTAGATCTAGCCCTTTCCAATTAGATCCATGGTGAATCTAGTCGAAAACAGCCAAATCCAACTAGTCATGCGTCATTCTGGAGACTTCTGGCTGTTGTCCAACGGTAGTGGTCGGCTGCCAACAATAGTTGGGTCGGTAGGGGAGTTTTTGTTAATTTATAAACTTTTATTGAGAAAAGTAATTGTTAAATGTCTTGAGTTGAATAGAATATGATTAGATTTTGAATTGAATAGTCAATAAAAAAACAAATATGTATTTCATTGGATTGGATAGGATAGTAAGATATAATAGGGTTTGAAAAGCTAAACAAAGGGGCGCTTATCTCTATCGAATCAATACTTAGTACAAGGATTAGATATTTAGATTAGATTATAAATAATTAAGTTTATACAATAATAATCTAGAAGGCACTCTTTCTAAGTCTTCACTGACAAGAATTTCTTCATCATGTAAGTTTTAGTTTGATAAAAGTTAAAGACTAACACTATTAAATTCATATTTTAATCTAACAAAAAACTTATCCGAGTCGGGTTACCGTGTCCACCGTTTAAAAATCTCTAATCTAATCGTTGGCCACTTCTAGCCACTTTCTGGCACCCCCTACCCCCTCCCGCTCACCCTCCACCCTCACCTAACCCTCGCCCACCCCTTGATGCGTCGCAACCCTCGCTCCAACCACGACAAGTCCCATTTCCAAGCACTCAACACACGACGGTGGCCATTGACAACATGACACCACACGCCTGAAGCCATTAGGGGTCGCCTTGCTATACCCCCATCGCGCGATCATAGTCATGCGGCACCAACTACGTGTGACTACTGTCTCACACCCTCCCCTCTCAAGCCCAACAACCCAACACCCCTGGTGTGCCGCCGCTACCCAACTAGTCAACCACCGATTTGCATTTGGCCAAATCATAGAGGTGTGTTTGCTGCCTTTCAAACCTTTAAGGACTTGTATATATTTATCAGGGGTGTGTTTACTAGATTTTAGACTTACTAGATCACCAGTCAGGCTGATGGGACCGTTAAACCCGAGACTTGGCCCCTTGGCCGGGTGACACCTGGGGTCGGGTATCAAAACACTGGTTTTACATGTATCTTTTGATTGTGATTAATAATTCTATTGAATATTTAATGCTTATGTGCTTGCATCATATTAAAAACAATAAACATGAAAAAGATTCATCATTTTTATTAATTTATAATTAATATAATACTGCCTTATAAACAATCAGAATTAAAAGATGGAATCTCTTGTTTTACATACATATTATTCGTTGAAAATTAATTAGAGGAAAAGTAAAGGGTAGAATTGTCCTTTAGCCTACCCTTCCCTTATCTTATAAAAGCTTCAGAGTTCAGACTAGGTGATAATTCTAATAATTATAGAGGGAAATATATTGAGAAAATGGTGAACGTTCCAGTGGCAACCTTGCCCTCCAATGGCAAAACCATTCCTATTGTAGGCTTCAGCACAGCCGAATATCCATTCAACTCAACCGGCTCCGTGAAAGAATCGACTCTCCATGCAATTAAACTCGGCTACAGACATTTTGATACCGCTGCACTTTACCTCTGCGAGCAACCTCTTGGCGAAGCAATGGCCGAAGCTTTACGCCTTGGCCTCATCAAATCCCGTGATGAGCTTTTCATAACTTCCAAACTTTGGCTCAACAATGCTCACGGCCACCTTGTCGTCCCCGCGCTACAAACGAAACTTAAGTAATGTAACCAAACGATCGATGTTAAAAATTTTGCCCTTTATGTAAAGATATCTAACAAATATTTTGTTGAATACAAGAATCTTGGCTTGGAGTACCTTGATCTCTATCTCATTCATTATCCGTTAAGCTTGAGACCGGAGTCAGATTCAAGCCTTTTATTGAAGAAAGAGGATATTATGAAAAATGGACTTTGAGTCTGTTTGGGGGGCCATGGAGGAATATCAAAAGCTTGGTCTTACCAAATCCATAGGAGTCAGTAACTTTTCATGCAAGAAGCTTGAGGAATTACTTGCCATTGCGAAGATCCCTCCTGCTGTCAATCAAGTTTGTCAATTCTTTAACAAAATTTAATATTTGTATGTTTTTTATATCGATAAGTATTGAGTATATCATATGTTTCATGTCCTTGTTAGGTGGAGCTGAACCCGGTTTGGCAACAGAAGAAGCTGAGGAAGTTCTGTGAGGAAAAGGGTATCCACATAACAGCTCACTCGCCATTAGAAGCCAACGGAGGAGAACTAATCGAGTCATGGATTCTGAAGTGCTCCAAGAGATTGCAAGAGCTAAGGGGAAGTCAGTCGCTCAGGGACATAAATACTTTTTCGGATCTATAACTTGGATTTTTTAGGTAATTGTATGGATGATTGTGATGATCTCGTTGTATGTCAAACCTTATCGATCTTTTATACGTACATACGTACACACACATATATAAAAGACTCCATGCATACACATGAAAGCATTATAGAAAGAGCAGTCCACTAAGCTGTAAAATAAATCATGCGGAGTCTATTGTTGGATGTTGTTAATACTTTACACAGGGTTAATGGATTATCGGTGGACACTGACACACCTGGGGTCCCGTTAACTGGTGAGTGGGTGGGGGTGAGGGGGTTATTTTGGTGCATGTGAAGATATGTCTCCGATGGGTTTACGAGCAAAAAGTAAGTGTACTTGTTAAGAGCTTCAACCAAGAAAGAATGAAAGAGAATCTAGATTTATTTGATTGGAAGTTAAGTCAGGAAGAACTGGACAAGATTGAACAAATCCCGCAAAGCCGAGGAAATACTGCTGAGTTTACAGTAACGGAGCAAGGTCTTTACAAATCCAGTAAGAAGTTTTGGGATGGAGAAATATAAAGTTTATTGCAGTATTAATGTTTGTGATTGTACTAGAATAATAAGATCAAACGGGTTCATAACCATTTGGTTTGTGTTATTGTGTCATTAATTAATGTTTGTGATTGTACTAGAATAATAAGATCAAACGGTTCATAACCAGTTGGATTGTGGTATTGTGTCATTAACCATGAAAAACTGTTTCCATAAAACGATTATCTACATTCATAGTTTAATAAAAACTTTTATTCCACGAGTGAAAAACTGAAAATTATGCCAATAAAGACAAAATAATTTGATAAATCAAACTAAAATAAAACTTAGCTTCCACACTTATCTATCTTAATGAACCAATACTACATGTAAAAATTATCTATACAAATGTTTCCATACAAATTGATGTGTTATAAATTGAATTAACGAATGTATGTATGAAGTCAACTCAATAAATATTTAATAGACATAAAGGAATGACTTGGAATTGCGGTGATTCTCCGAATTGCATGTAAAATCAATTAAAAATTATGAACATTAATACAAAATAACATATGAAAAAATTAATTAAGTGGTCTGATTATACCATTAGACATTTCCTTCTCCCTACGCTTGATTGTTCTTATAAAGACATCACATCTTACAGAAACAATTAAAAGCCACAGAATTGCATGGGTTATCCTTAAAGGAAATATAATGTTCCAGTGGCAGCCTTGCCCTCAAATGGCAAAACCATCCCTCTTGCAGGCAATTGAACTTAGATACAGACATTTTGATACCGCTGCAATTTACCAGTGCGAGCAGCTTGGGGAAGCAATAGCGGAAGCTTTGCGCCTTGGCCTCATCAAATCTCGCGATGAACTTTTCATCACTTCCAAGCTTTGGGTCAACAACACTCACGGCGACCTTGTCCTCCCGGCATTACAGAACACTCTCAAGTAATGTGATCCTTAATTTCAATGAATATCTTCAGATTTACTTCTATGAAAATAATTTAAACATTTTGTTCGATATAGGAATCTTGGACTGGGGTATCTTGATCTTTATCTCATTCATTATCCATTAAGCTTGATAAGAGCGCCATGAGGATACCACAATTATATTATTCATTTCAATTTAGTTTATTTTAAGATTGAATTATACTTATTTTTTTAGAGGTTTTTTATTCTAATTTGATGAAAAAATGAACAAATCTTGTGAGTTTGTTTTGTGTTTTTTGTCTAAGAATGTTCTTGTTTTCCCAAACTAAACTTTAACTATATTTTGTTAAACGTTATCCTTCACCTTTTATTGACCACTTTCTTGTATTTCAAACATCACTGTTTAACTACTCAAAATTATTAAAAAAAAAATTGAGTTATTATCTATGTTTATACTAAGAAAATTCTTCATTTTTTTATTAATTTATATTAAAAGTCAATGCAATATTGATTTGATTTAAATTTTAGCTAACTTTAGTTTAGGTTATGTCTGATCAAAGTCATAAAAATTTATATTATAATCTTTGAAAGTCAAAAGTAAAAAAAAAAAAAAAAAGGTTTTACTCAAGGTTTACTCGCACACATTTACTTAAAATTTTGCTTCTCATATATTTATTCAAATAGAAAAGTATTATGTTATTATATATATATATATATATAGGTTTTTAATATTGTATTATTTTATTTATTTAAGGTTTGATAATATTTTAAAATTTTTACTAATTGTTTGACAAACAATTGGGCAGTCCTGGGTAAAAATTATGCATCCGCTAAATAATATATATATATTAAGAATTATAGGGTGGTCTGCATGTTTATTCACAAAACTACGTAATTAATACAAAATTTTATCATTATATATAAAGAGCCAAATCTTTTTTCTTGGGCTCATCAAAGCACCAGATGAGTTAGCTTTTGATCACTTCAAATTAAGCTCGATCATCACTCATCAATGCACAAGAAGACTTTGTCCTCCCTGCACTAGAGAACAATCATATATATGGCATATGATTAATGGATCAAATTATTATAAAAATTAAAATTTGATTTAATATAACTAAGTGAATTAATTTATCAAATTTAAACGTGTAATACATATGACTTGGTTAAATGATCATTAAATTATTAATTTATAACCTATTAATTCATCATTCTGTAAAATTATACTTACTTCATTATCAATCCAGCTTTTAAAACTTAGCTGTTCACTAGAAATAGTGCACGTGAGAAATATATTAAGCTATATAACCAACAATATCAACTATTACAATTACTGGAGAAATTACAAATTAAATTGTTTTGGCATCCAATTTCAACTTTGGGTTTTGTGAAATCAGTTGAAATTGGAGTTTGATTGGATTGTGGAATTGATTGTTGATTAGTTCTATTTTCGGTTTACTTTTTGTTTTGTTTGATTTTTTATTTTGATTGTTGTATTGGGAAAGAAAAAAGGCCAACTGTGGTGGTGATTTGGTTGGCTAGTGTTGGGAAAGAATAAGGGCCAACTGTGGTGGTGGCTTGCGATTGGGGTGGTTTGGAATGGGTTGTGACTTGTGAAGAAGAGTAGAGGAGATGAAGAAGGAGAAGGTCCAGGGGTAATTTGGTAAAATAACCCTCCGTCTCTCTGTCACAGCTCATTCGTCATTAACCACGGGTGAAAATCTAGAATTTATGAAACACTCAAACACCAACAGAGATTTCATTGGATAGGGTGCTCCAATTTTTTAAAACCCGACCCGGCGCAATCAGTCTGAGTCACCATAAAAATCGGGAATATGTATTTGCCCCGATGGAACCGGGGTTACTGCAACCCACCAGTCCAATTGGTTTTGTGTCAAAACCAGGTTAATGCATCTCCTACCTGATAAATTGTAAAACCCTTTCCATTTTTTCAATTTTGCAGTCAACATCTACAATAAAAACTTCGGCCACCTTGTGTGCCAAAATTGTCCACTGCCGGCCGCACTACAATCGTCGTCCGTCGAGGTTTGTGGTTAATTTCATCTTGATTCACTTCATCTCGGTTCTCACCATGTGTTCATTGTGTTGTCAATTTCGAAAACTTGTATTTTATTTCTGTTGAAGCTGTGTTGATTATGAGAAGTGAGAACTTGAATACACCATATTCTGAAGACTTGAATATAGCTGTTGTGTGTATGAGGAGGATTGATGGGGTTCTCCATTGGATTATGATTATGATTGAGATTTTCAATGATGATGATGAATTAGAATCGTGGATTGGTGATGTTTGTTTGATGATTGAAATGTGGATAGAGGAGAGTAGAGTTTGTGATCGGATGTGAGCTATGAGAGACGTGTTTGCAATGAAGAAATGGATGGTTTTGATTTTTTTGGGAGAAAGAGGATGGGATAAGGTATAGGGATAAGATTTTGAGATTCTTTTCTTCACGTTTTTCTATATTTATATTAATATATTAATATTTTTTATTAGATAATGTGAATATTATTTTATTTCTATTTATTTTAATTAAAATTCTATTTTAGTCAATTCATTAAAATTACTTTAATATCATTTTTTTTTCATTCAAGTTCGAGAAGTTTGACCTCTCCCTCTAAATTTTTTTTACAATTTAATATATTTATTTGTCTTTAATTTATCTATTGCCTTGTTTATTAACAATTTATTTCAAAGTTTAAGCTAATTTTTTTTTTTCTAAAATTATATTTAAGCCCTATTAATTTTTAGAATTCAAATTCTTTTTATTACATCATAATGATGTTACTGGTCAAACCCGCCAATTAAACCTATCAAACCAATCAACCCGAGACCCAAGTCCTTGACCAAGTCAAGGCCTGGGATGAGTATTAAAACATTGGTTTACTCTTTACTTTATTAGCTCATTGTTGCCATTAAATTAATTTTCATGACTCACATTAATGCATTGAATACAACCCAGTTCACTCTCAAACATCTAGGTAGAAATCTGATTCTTCAAGATTTCTTGGTTGGTTGTTTTACATTATTTTTCAATGGCCTGTATGATTTCAGTTTTGATTTCCTTAATGATGTCAACAATTCTTTATGATTCTTTAAATCAGAAATTATGATCTGTTCACACAAGAAATCACATGTACCCATGTTACTCTCTAACTATTATATGAATATTCTATTGCATATAATCTCTCTCTATTATAACTTATAAGGGCTTCTTCAACTCCATTACACATTTGTGAAGGTTCTTGAGAAAAATGGTGACAGCTCCATTGGCGTCGTTAGCCTCAAATGGTGAAACAATTCCCCTTGTTGGGTTGGGAACAGCTGAATTTCCTTTCAACTCAACTCGTGACACCGCAAAACAACCTGCTCTCCATGCAATTCAACTTGGCTACAGACATTTTGATACAGCTGCACTCTACGGCACCGAGCAAGCTCTTGGCGAAGCCATAGCTGAAGCTTTACGTCTTGGCCTCATCAAATCGCGCAATGAGCTTTTAATCACTTCAAAGCTTTAGGCCAGCAATGCTCACAGTGATCTTGTCCTCCCGGCAATTAAGAACACTCTCAAGTAATGTAGCCAAGCAATTAATGATATTTAAAAATTTTCCTTGCTATTTTGATCTCTTAGTCTAATATTTTGTTGAATGCAGGAATCTGGGTTTGGATTATCTTGATCTTTATCTCGTTCATTTCCCATTCAGATTGACACCGAACACGGGGTTTCCATTTGAAAAAAAGGAGATTCTTCCAATAGATTTGGAATCTGTTTGGAAGGCCATGGAGGAGTGTCAAAAGCTTGGTCTTACCAAATCAATAGGGGTCGGAAACTTTTCGGTCAAGAAGCTTGAGAAATTACTAGCCACCGCTAAAATCCCTCCTGCTGTTGATCAAGTTAGTCAATTAATTCTTTCACCAAATTAACCTTGTTTCATCAGTTAGTCAATTAATATTATTTTCTTTAAAGGTGGAGATGAATCCGGTTTGGCAGCAAAAGAAGCTGAGAGAGTTCTGTAAGAAAAAGGGTATTCATATAACAGCTTACTCGCCATTGGGAGCCAAGGGAACTCCTTGGGGAACTGATCGTGTCTTGGACTCTGAAGTGCTCAAAGAGATTGCTAGCAGTAGAGGGAAGTCAGCTGCTCAGGTAATTGTTTCGATTTATAGTAGAATAGTGGAAAAGATTGATCTTCAAATAGCATTGATGATTTAATGGAAGAATATAATAATTAATTGGTAATTAACTAATAATTTTGGATTATAAAAATCAATTATATGTTTTTTTTTTTTTTTTTTTTTTTTTTTTTTTGAGTTTTGAGGGTTATTTTGTACATGTGAAGGTTTCTCTAAGATGGGTTCACGAGCAAGGAGCAAGTTTAGTTGTAAAGAGCTTTGATGAAGGAAGAATGAAAGAGAACCTGGATATCTTTGACTGGAAGTTAAGTGAAGAAGAGCTACACAAGATAACGCATATTCCACAAGTAAGAGGAAATCCTGCTGATTTTGTAGTATCAGAAGAAGGTCCTTACAAGTCCATTGAGGAGTTTTGGGATGGAGAAATCTAGTATTGCACTATATCATGTCAATCTTATCATCATTTAATTACATAATTAATATGATTAATGGTTTCAAATTCAAAATTGAATAATTTGACTTGTAATGAAATACCCGTATTTTTTTTTTCATAATATAATTTGAATAATTTGATTTGATTCCATAATATTATTGTCTTTGAATTCTCCACGTAATGAGAGGTGCATAGGTGGCCTGGACTATTTCCAATTTCTTCTTTTATCTTTTAGCTCTACATAACTAATTTATAAGATAAGTTGAAAAATCTTACGATGTCTTCGTCTCAATTTTGTTCATATATGTACCATAAATTCATCAAAAGTAAGAAGAAATACGTGTTAATTAAGTTATTGTTTACGTTTCCCTTTTAAATTCTCAATACTGCACATGATCGGGAAATAAAGTAAAACGAAAATCACATTTTATTAATTTACTTTTTCTCACCCAAATAATAATTTAATAACATTTTTTCATCGATAGACTTTTAAAATATCATTTTAATATCTAAATTTATATTCTGATGACGAATAGAGAGTAAACTCGTTCTAGATTACTAGGGTTTTTGAAGAGTGGAAATCGATTAGTTTTTTGATGGTATACTGTTAGATTTTCGTGATTAGGATTGATCGAAATTTGACTTGGGAGGGCGACTGTGCAAACTCTAATTGCTTGATTGTCGGCGATTGATGGGAGTGGGGTTTAAAGGGTTTTAATAAATAATGATCGCAGAAGATAATAGTGGTGATGTAGGATTGTAACGATGCCAGAATCAAAACGAAATATAAATTTGGGTAGTAAAATGATATTTTAAAGTTTGTAGGAGAAAAGATTATTAAACCATTATTTGGGTGGAAAAAGTTTTTTGCTCTATTATTAATAAAATTTCTTAAGTATCTATGGAAGATACATGCAAGATATGGGTATGGGTACCAAAACTCACTATCATCGGCAATAAATCCACAAGCTGTATATTTGTACTTTCCTTTTTCTGCTTGTGGTTATCCTTATCCAAGTATCCTATAAAGCCATCATATCTAGGGATGGGCCCAGGCTAAGGACCTCGTTCCCGTCCCCGTCCCCGTCCCCGTCACCGACATTCACTCCCATGGCCATCCTTGGCCCATCCTTGCTAGTGGGGACAACTCTCATGACCGTCCCCTGCTCGTAGAGATGGAATCACTACCATCCCTGTCTCGACCCAGCCCGATGAACGGGGCTTCGCCAGGATTTTCCCCCCAAATATAATTAAATATATCTATATTTAATCTTAACATAATTTATTAGGTAAATTGATTAATTATTCAATTGTATGGAGGCTTAAGCTTAGTTAGCCCTATTAATTAATTAATTTTTCATAAAATTAACATAATTAAATTCAATTTTAACATAATTTACTCGGTAAATTGATTACTTATCTAATTGTATGAAGGCTTAGCCAGTTAGGCTTAATCAACCCTGTTAATTATTTAATTTTTAATAAAATAAATATATTTATATCCAATCTTAACATAATTTATAGGTAAATTAATTAATTATTTAATTGTATGGAGGCTTAGGCTCAGTTAGCCCTGTTAATTAATTAATTTTTCACAAAATTAAAATACTAAATTAAATCTTAACATATTTTAGTAGGTAAATTGATGAATTAATTCATAAAACACTATCTCCACTACAACTAATAAAATTAGTATATTTGTGAAAGGGACAATTATCCAAAGTTTCCAACACTGATTAAGTTTAAAATCATATTTAATTGATCAATTAATTAATTACAAGGATAACTGAATGTGTATAATCTGTAAGTAGTTAAATAATTGTGTATATTTTTATATTGGTTTGATAAATTATAATAATCTAATCAAATTTATTTTTGGGCCATATATTATTACTTTGTGGAATTCATAAAGTAATAATACATATATTTAATTATTAGATTCCCTCGTTTAAATTATTCTTTCTATAAATTTAATACAAATATTAAAAAATATTATAAAAATAAATATTATAAATTTATATAAATTACTTAAAACTATAAGTTAAACTCTAACTTTTTATAAAATCTCACAAAGATAAAAAAAAAAATAGTTTCCCAATAAAAGAAGGTTGGGCTCCATGGGAGTGGGGTTAACAGGTAGGGTCGGGTCAGAGATTGCACAATCCCCTCCCCTGGCCCATCCTTGGGGGCAATGATTTTTTTTTAGCACCATTCCCAGCCCTATCCCCAATATTTCTAGGGATTGTCCACCACATTCAGGCCGGGGCAAACGCCCATCCCTAAATTCATATCAGATAGATAGAAGCCACAAAACGTCCTCTAGTAGAAACCTCAGTCTCAAATCTTAAGGCAAAATGGTGATCGTTCCAGTAGCAACCTTAGCCTCAAATGGCAAAACCATTCCTCTTGGAGGCTTCGGCACCGTTGAATTTCCTTTGAACTCAACTGAGTCTGTAAAAAAATCTGCTCTCCATGCAATTCAACTCGGCTACAGACATTTTGAAGCTGCTGCAGTCAACCACACGGAGCAATTTCTTGGCAAAGCCATAGCTGAAGCTTTACATCTTGGCCTCATCACATCACGCGATGAGCTTTTCATCACTTCAAAGCTTTGGATCAGTGATGCACACCGTGACCTTGTCATCCCTGCAATAAAAAACACTCTCAAGTAATGTAATCAGGCCAAACATTAATTAAGAGACTGTATTTTTATGTGAAAATTTTTAATTTTTTGTTTCATTGTAGGAATCTTGGGTTGGAGTATCTTGATCTATATCTCATTTATTTTTTAGGAAGCTTGAAACGGGGCACAGGGTTTCCATTTAAAACAGAAGATATTGTGGCGATGGATTTAGAGTCTGTGTGGGAGGCCATGGAGGAGTGTCAAAAGCTTGGTCTTACAAAGTCCATAGGAGTCAGTAACTTTTCATCCAAGAAGCTTGAGAAATTACTCGCCACATCAAAAATCCTTCCTGCTGTCAATCAAGTTAGTTTCATATCTCCTTAACAAAGTATATACTTAAAAATATCGGTAATTCTCTAGTCAAGGTGTCCTCATATAAATTTGTCATATTAAGATTCTGACCAAAGAACTACTGATTAAGATATATTTGGAGTTTCCTAATTTGTTTTTCTGTGGTAAGGTGGAAATGCACCCAATTTGGCAGCAGAAGAAGCTGAGAGATTTCTGTAACGAAAAGGGCATCCACATTACAGCTTACTCGCCATTAGGAGGCCAAGGAACATTCTGGGGAAGTAACCGAGTCCCGGAATGTGAAGTGCTGAAAGAGATTGCTAGTGCTAATGGGAAGACAGTTGCTCAGATTTGTCTCAGATGGGTTTACGAGCAAGGGGTCAGTTTAGTTGTGAAGAGCTTTAACAAAGAAAGAACGAATCAAAACCTTGAGATATTTGACTGGAAGTTAAGCCCAGAAGAACTTCACAAGATTGAGCAAATTCCTCAGCGAAGGGTGAATGTTGTCGATTCATTTGTATCAGAAAGCGGTCCTTTCAAGTAAATCGAGGATATATGGGATGGAGAATTATAGGCATGTCTCTTGGAAAAAAATGGTGAGCATTCCAGTGGCAATCTTACCCTCAAATGGCGAAACCATTCCTCTGGTAGGCTTCGGCACAGCCGAATTCCCTTTCAACTCAACTGGAGCTATAAAAGAATCTGTTCTCCATGCAATTCAACTGGACTACAGACACTTCGATACTGCTTCAATGTACCAGAACGAATAATATCTCGGCCAAGCAATAGCGGAAGCTTTACATCTCGGCCTCATTAAATCTCGCGATGAGCTTTTCATCACTTCAAAGCTTTGGACTAGCGATACACCGTGAGCTTGTCCTTCCTGCCCTGCAAAAGACTCTCAAGTAGACTACTACTTTCAGTAATTTCTTAGTTTATTTTTTGCATGTATTATATATATACAGACTCCTTGATATTTTGTTTCAATATTAAAGGAATCTTAGGTTGGATTACCTTGCAGATCTTTATCAAATTCTGATGAGAACCTGACCTGCAATTTATCAAATAACACAACAATCTAGCTACAGTTCCAACCCAGATCACAATCAAAACAAGGAATCTCTATATTAATAGCAGCAAAACAGTACATCCGAATAATATACCCAGACCCTGTTTACATAATATTCCACAAACGAGAATCCAGCAAATTAAGCTAATATAAAAAGAGAAAACAAAATGATGATACTGACTTCGAGGGTCAGTCACCTCCCTTTCCAATCCTTAATCAACTTTTTCAATCCTCTCCCTTTTCTCCTCTCTCCCTTTATTCCCTCCTGGCACCTAAGTTTACTCCTAACAGAATTTCTCCTCTCTCCAATCCCCTCAGGCCACCTGTCCCTTCATAACCAATTCTTCTAACCTCCTATATGGCAATCATTCCCTGCTTCTTACCCCACTTCTTCCTACGGTAAACCCTTCCCCTTGGTTGCTCATCATTACCCTCCTCAAGGAGAACCACCTTGTCCTCAAGGTGGAAAGAAGGAAACTGGTTGAGAATAGTTTCAAAATCCTCCCAAGTGTTTTCAAAGGGAGATAGACCTTTCCATTGAATCAGCACCTCCCACAGTCCACTGAGGAGTTTCCTTTTCTGGAGAACAGCTTCAGATTCAAGTTGTAGAATGAGGTCTTCATTGAGGCCTGCTGGTAGAGGTTGACCATTGGGTATAGGAAACGTAGCTTTTTTCAGTTGCGAAACATGAAAGACATCATGAATACGTGCTGAAGATGGCAGTGCCAGCCTATATGCGACTGGCCCAATTTTGTTCGTCCATAAAATCGTGGACTGAGCTTCTCATTATATCGACGGGCTAGGGACCGTAATCAGTATAGCTGTAACTTTAAATAGACAGATTCCCCTACCTCAAATGTAACTTCTCGGCGATGATTGTCTGCGGAAGTCTTCATGCAGTGTTGGGCCTTGAGGAGATGGTCTTTTAACTCGTCAAGAACCTAGTTGCACTGCTGGAGTTGCTGGTCAACTTCATCGACGACGAAAGTGTGGTCTGAATAACGCAACACTGTTGGGGCCTCTCGGCCATAGAGAGCCTTAAAAGGACACATTCCGGTGGAGCGGTTATAAGTAGTGTTGAATCAAAATTCTGCCCATGGAACCCAGTTTGGCCATGATCGGGGTTGGCCATTGACAAAACATCTGAGATACGTTTC